AGAAATCTCAAGAGTAAGAATTTCTGCATTTCAAGGAGGAGGCCTCGCAGGTGTATCCATACTCACAGCAGTGCAGACCATCTGCACAACACTGGCCCTGAAATCAGTCAAAAGTGTTTGTGTTAGAACAAAACACCAACCTTATTCCAGCAAGAGGTGATGGCATTTCTGGGATTTATGCACAATCCTTACCAGTGGGTAGGGACAGCAGTTCCACTGGCCTGAGGATGCCTGGCAGCAAGACATCCCCCCCTGGCAGTAATGTAGGGAATCACAACGAATGACTTGAGCCTCAGGGGAGCCGACGTGTGTTAGAGCTGGTTCTGGTATCTGCAAAACGGGAAGGACAAGCTAACTATTAGCCTGTTCCTCTTATCCAAAAACGAGTCCATTCATCAATTCTCTTAAATGGGGGATAAAGTCTATCTGAGCTGTCACTCAAAGTACACTTTGTATGTAGGGATGGGAATTGATACAAATTTATTATACATCGTAGCATATCAAAGACATTACATTTGCAAAAACTGACTGCATGCTGTGGGTCAAATGTTTGCAGGTGCTTGCAAAGTTGCTTCAGCAGCACGATGCAGTTGTTTCTGTCCTGTATGCACTTTGCACCTTACCATTGCAATCTTGTCCTTTTAAGCAATAAAAATCAAAGTAATATCCACGTCCAAGACTGTGCCACTGTTTTCCTCCTCTGACAAGAGGAACCGATAAAAAGAGTGTGCAAGCAGACTAACAACTCCAAGGAACTGAACTTTTTCTATGTGTGTATGTGAGCGTGTGTGTGATTTTATCTAAAAGTCCTTAAAAAAACTGGTTTCTTTTTGTATTTAATTAATCAAGTTAAACCAGGATTTTTTTTTACTTTACTTGGCCATCTAAGGAGCAGCAGTATTTCTGAAACCCACGAGGAAAACTACACAGAGCTAAAGGATGCAAAGTTGCAAAAATCAGCAGCTGTCCAGGTATGCGCTCATCGTGGTGAGAAACAGCTGATGCACGTGCACTTCTTTTCTTGTCACATATAAAATGATTACAGCAGTCTTGCAATATAAGTGAGCAAACCCACAGCTGTCATCACATTCATGTGACTGGTGAACTCATGTGATCCTGCGTTATTGCTTTATTTATTAACTCCTTGATTCTTTGTGTAACATCGCTTCTTTTCAACAAAGTGAGGAGTTAAAGCGACAGGCAGCTTTTAAATGTTGTAAGCGCGGTGTGTCCTACCTCGTTCATGCTCTCTTTGTCCTCTGACATAGGGATGACAAAGGCAGGTACTGAAGGCAGCGCTGGCTTATAGAGGAAAGGGTATGTGAGTTTCTGTGCAGCGTCCTTCTTCACCATGGGAATGCTCAGCCACGGCTGGTCCAGTTTCTCACACAGCTGTGTCACCAGGTTACAGCGATACCCTGACGGACAGCAGTGGGCCATGTCTGCGCAGCACACTGCCTGCAGAGTGAATAAGACTTATTTCCAATCTGACTTCCAAAACCAACAACAAGCAAAACAATAAATAAAAAAACAAAACAAAGCAACAACACTAATGGAAAGTTATATTTGTGTGAATATAGCTGACTTACTTTTGGATACTGACAGCAGCCATATCCATACTCAGTCTTGCAGCAGGTAGAGATGTCTGAGCAAGTACTCCCATCAGGACACGTGATAGAGCAAGAAGCAAATCCCCACACAAACACCCCGACTGACAACCACAGAGTGAGCCTGGACATCTGGAGGGAAGAGCATCACAGTGACTTTTTCCTTTTCCCTTTAATTCTTTTCAACTGACATCAAGGTGATATTAAAAAGTAGATAAAGTGCATATTTCTTCGCAGCTTACAAGTCAGACTTTTTGATCATATGTACTCCTGTACCTACAGTTTCACGTTCGCTTCTTTGAAAACTTCTTGCTCTCAAATTAAACTTACAAAAGAGGATATTAAACCAATAAATTGCCCATAAAAGATTTTAAAATCAAATCTTTGAGTCACAAACCTTCAGATAGGGAAGAGATTCAACAGTTTCCTGTCGTATATTTCGCACTTCCACTTCGCACTGAAACTTGCATGGCTTTTTATAGTGCAGGTAAGACCCGCCCACTGAGGAGCAGCTGAGAGCTTGACTTCACATCACAGCACTTCTGTCCTGTGACAGTCATATAGCAGTTTTTAAGGTTTCTGGAACTACTGTAGCTCACGCCCACAGATAAAGCTTCTATGTTTAAAGGGAAGTGCATTGTTTACTGGGAAACTTAAAGATTAAACAAGGCTTTATGAACATACATTAACCTTTCATACCTCGCACTGTTTTGATCACAAGACCTGCCTGTGAAGTCTCACTGAGACACAGTGCTGTCACTGTGATGAGTGGGTAAATGTTCTCAAACTTTTATTTGGCCTTTACGCTCACAGTTGGTGAAAGCTTTATTTTTTTTATTATTATTGAAATCACCTAAACTACGAAATGCCAGCACATCTTTGCTCAAAGGAAACCAATACCCCCACCCACCCCCCCACACACACACACACACATTAATTCTCAGTTCCTACTTTTATACGTTAGGGAAATTACTGCATGCCAATCCATGACAAAACGTGTTCTACTCTGCATTTTTCTATCCAGGTATGCTTTTACTGCACTGGCAGCGCATTTGGGATCATTGTCATGATAAAAAATGAAGCTGTTGCCAACCAGATGATTTCCAGATGGTATTTGCATGGTGGTCCAAACTCTGAAAGAACTTTGTTTTCATGCCATCAATTTTGACAATATATCTCAGCCACTTGCTAAAATGGCCCCAACCGTGACAGAGCCTCCAGCGATCACTCTCCTGTATTTATAGATGGCAATTTGAAGCTAAATTTTCAAAGTTCATAAGACCTGTTGCCACTGATTTTCTGTCCTGTTCTTGTGTAACTTGACATTCCCCAGCCTTTTCTCCTCGTTTCCTTTACTTAGGAATGGCCTTTTAACAGCCACCGTCCCTCTGAGACCATTTCTGATGATCTACCTGCTGTTCACTGAAGCTGAAGGGCCCGATGCACCTCCTAGGTCTTTTTTCCCCCCTTTCTTAAGGATATGACTTTCAGATGGTGTTCATCTCCTGTGGAACCACTTTGTTGGTATAAAAAAAAGAATTTTATTTCTGTCAGTGTTATCTTTGCCATTTTTCATAGACTGAAGCCTAGATACAATTTAAAACTGGTTCTTTGCCAAGTTGTGTGTAGACACAAACAGGTTCATCCCTCAGGTTGTAAGGTGCTGTTTTTATGCTTGAATCATTCACAGGTCAGAGTTAAGTGGCTTAACAAACAAAAAAAATCCTCTAAAAATGTCAGGTAGAAGCACTGGGCTGAAAGTGAGTGAAAGCCTTTCAGAAAGCCTGCAGAACTGTTGCTTGAGACCACTTGAAAAAATACGAGTCTGGCTCCTTAGAGACAAAATATGGAAAAATGAAGCTCATAACACTTTCCCCAATGGTGTCACACTTTCGGCTCCTGTGGTTTCATCGGTGAGGCGTCTCATTCATTTCGAGGTATGACAGATTCAAACACAAAGTCAGACTCATGGTTCAGTAACAGGCATTTAAAGTCTTAGTGAGGCTTACATATGTGTGTTTCTTTTTCCGGTTTCAGAAACAGAATGGAGAACTGGGTCCAGCAACCTGGAGACCTGCAAACAACACTTTCTGGCCTCAGTGTTGTAACTACATAACAGCAGCAAAGGTTAAAACAATACTTTATTATTGAACTCCATTGTTTGTACAACTACACTGCAGTGTAACAACTCATCTAACAAAAACAATTATCCCTTGTATTACTGTATGACTGTGCAGCTCATTTCTTACAACAATGGCCAACTTCAATATGAAGCCGGCGAGACATCTGGTCATCACGTCTACATGCATCACGCAGGCACTAGCATCAACAGCCTCGTGTAGCAATGAAAGATGTCAGGTATGAAGCACAGAGGCTAACTCCTAGAGGGCTAGCGTTCTGAAGGCGGTGGGGAGTGCCAGGCACACTCAAGTCTCCAGAAAGAGATGGGGGGGGGGGGGGGGGGGGGGGGGGGGGAGTTCAGTCCTGTCTTTGAGTGAACTTCAGACCAATAATGCAGAAAAATCATGGTGGTAAAACAAAACAAAAAAGATATGCACTATTTGTTTCCACTTAGAGGGACCAGCACTTTCTTCCCAATTTTCACTTCACACATAGAAGCCGAGCATTTAGGCCTGCTGCTTCCCCTGTATAGGTGGAAATCCCCAAAAATTGGATGCGAGTAGTTTTTGGTAGTCAAAGGCAAAGATGACTCTACTTTTGAGCTGTCAGAAAAATGGAAGACATGTTTTCAGTCGAGGTCCGAGTCCGACTGAGACGCCGTCTTCTTTTTCTTTTTTCTGCCATGTTTTTTGTGCTTCCTTTTCCTCTTCTTCTTGGATTTATCCTGGAAAAAAAAAAACTCCTGCATTTTAGCGACTGATTCGTCTTTTGAACGATGTACAAAGATCTACTGCTCCGCCCACAAAATCTTGTTTGCGGACTGTCTTGAAATAGGAAATGAAGTAAAATGTCTCACTGTGAATTTCTCCTTTTCCTCGCTGCTTCTCTTTTTTTTCTTGGCTTCAACCTGCAGGAGTAGAAAGTTGAAAGGTGACGAAGAATTTAAAAAAAGAAAGGAAAAACAATTCCCCTAATATTTCACAATAGTGGAAGTTTTGCAACAGCTGTAACAGCTGTGTGGTCAATCCAGGATTAAAGATGTTGTCAAACATAAGTCTTCATGACTCCTTTATCTCTCTTCTGAATTATTAAATACAATACATGCAGTACAGATCACTGGTTAGTTAAAGATGGGCGTGTGACCCAGTTTGAGATTATGATTTATTTATTTATTTTATTTATTTATTGCATCTTGTGTTTTGTAATTTGAATATATTTATTTACTTATTTAAATTCTTAAGGCTGTTTTACTCCTATATTCAGCAGTTGCTATTTTTAAAAGTGCTTTATAAATGAAGCTGGCTTGGCTAAGAACACCATTTAATCGGATAAAGAAACTTGACACAAAGATTGACTTCCCCCTACAGTAAAGAGAAACGAGAGCTTGAACATCTGGTTGCAAAAACATTTTAGGAAAAATGAAACTGATTTGACTTTTGTTCTGTATCACTACTGTATCCAAGTACGAGGTTTAAAGAGGGACACCAGCGAACGGCCTCAATCTGACAAGGCTGAAATGTAAAAGGCTCCATTGAATAACATGAAAAATGGTTCAGTTTGACTGCTTGAATGATTAAAGTAACTAAGGCTTTGTCCAGATAACTATCAGAATGAAAAGGTAACAATTCAAGACATAAATCAAAGTGGTTCGTATTTCCATCCGATGTCTACATGTGCATCTCAGGGTGAATGCTTAAATAAGAAAATAACATCTAAATAAATAGTGCTCAAAAAGTCAGCAGACAGAAACAAACATGTGATTTATTCAAGTATTTTGGTTGGAGGCTTCTTTTATGTGCAAAACAGGAGGATCACTAATGAGTAACCGACCCCTTTGTGATTACAACAGAAGCCCTCTGAAAAACTCAGGTGACATCTGGACCAGAGCCACTACAGGTTTGTATTTGCCAATTAGCTTCTTATTTTTATAAGATTATTTCTGTTAGTTTCAATTTTCCCCCCAAGACATCTAGTTTTCTGATTTTATTTTACCAAAACATTTTTTCTGATCTAATTTTAAGTTCAGTTTTAGTCAGCTATAAAAAGCCTTGGTCTGCACAAACAATCCGTTCGTGTGCAAACAGCAGTGAAGACGGACTGCCATAAATATCTGACCTGAGAATAAGATCGACTCAGCTCTGACCAAAAAAAATAAAAAATTATCAGGGGAGCAATTACAGTGAGGAGCTATTACATTTAAAAGCCGAGAGGACCAAATAAGCAAAAGAGGAACAAAGGATGAACAGAGAGTAACGCTCAACTACTTCAAGTCTATTTGTTAAGTGAGGCGATGGATACATTAGCAATAAAAAAAATAATGACTGCAGAAATGTGTGATAGAGACAGAAATAATACTTACTGCTTCATCATCATCAGAGTCAGCAGACGACTCTGATGATGAGCCTTTATAACTTCTCTCAGCCTTCCTCTTTCCTCTACGGCTCTTTTCATCCTGATGGACACAAGATTTATTTATTTAAGTTGTTTCAGGAGGAAAAAAGCCAGAGGAATGTATTTTAAATCAAGTGTCGCCATCAAAATGACAGATAAGTGAATAACGGAATAAAAGTAAATTACCTTATCTCTGTCACCTTCTTCCTTTATTCTTTTCCTTTTCTTCTTGGAAAAAGAAAAAAAGGACAAAAAATTACCACCACAGTCCATTTCTATAAAACTGCAATGAATCGACTACAACTACATGCAGCATTAGAAAGAAAAACCTTGCTTTCAGCATCCGACTCATCCTCTGAGCTGTCCGATGCTCTTCTGGATGACGACTTCTTTCTCTTCCGCTTCTTCTTTACAGTCTTCTTTTCATCCTGCACGTGCAAACAAAAACTGCAATCAGGGTTTTACTGTATGTGAAGTAAAGCAGGAATCCTTCTAAGATCCATTAAAGTCTTTATAAATCTGATCTCTCTATAATGTACAGTTTTTTTCTTGTTTTTTTTTTTTTTTTTTTT